AAAAAAAAAAAAATACCCTGAAATATTTTAGGGTCGTATCACCCACACCCAGTTGGAGTTCAAAAACTGTAGCATGGCTGAATATTCGACTGATTTCGACAAAAGGAAAAAGTCTGCCAGATAACATTTCCACAAGCTATTTAAAATATCACAGACTTTTTCACTTTGACAGAATCAACCTAATATTAAGCCATGATACTGAAAATCTTTAAGATAACATTAAGCTATGCTTTCTGTACTCCAACACAGCAAACTATTTCTGGGACTCCTCTCTTCAACTCTCACTAATGTCTCTATCACCGTTCTTCCTGCAACAAGTCACCTCTAGCGGGATTTCAGAACGACTTCTCCTTGAGTGAAACTTGGTCACAATAACAAACACACCAGTGAAAGGTAAAGAAAAATGTTTTAATTTTACTGTAGGGATCCTTTCCATAATGTTGTCAGTCACTTAAAGTAACAATCTGAGTCTGTCAGTGGTAAAAACAAACACATTTAAGACACACATGGTGCCTAGACCCTAGGTCCGCCTAGCATTTCCTCTTTCATGTGGACGGGGTTATTGTCACTCACTGCTTCGTCCAGCACTCACTGTATGTCCTCATTACCTGTGACACAGAGGGAAGTCTGCATCTCGTTTAAAACTGTATGTCATGCAAAAACTAAAGTAGTGTGCTGACGGATTCACGTCATCACCTCATGCACTGAGTAACATTACAAGTTAACGTTCCATCTTAAAAGTCGCCGGCAGTCGGCCCGGTGAATTAAGCTAAGCGACTGTAAAAGGCAGCAAAACATCATTTCATTTTATAGTTATAGTTTACTAATAAAACTCTGCACGGTAGGAACAGTGGTTACATGAGCCTCCAACCAGCCACAACTCAGCCCTGAGCAGAGTGGCCGTCCTCTACTGACCAATCAACAGACTGCAGTGTTCACAGCTCCACCTTTTAGTACCAGACCTGTGTGCTAGGTACCCCAAAGAGGGGGTACAAAAAAAGGGGACGGTAGGGACGGTACCATCCACAACTTCTCACGGTGGAAATGGAAAAAAAGTGAACTGAACTGTATCGTGCTGCTCGGTGGAATATAATGGACCTAAATTGAAGATTCACAGTTGCCTGTAGGGCAGTTTTGGTCTCTCTCAATTCTGCACCAATTTCAAAACTGTTGTCTCTATTAGTCACTTAGACAAAACAACATGGGAAAATAGGATCCAGGTTCAAAATACCAAAGTTTTCTTCTCAGTATGTTCTTACCTTGAGTTTGTGTATGATCTTGATCTGTGAGGGATGTGAGTTCTCTGTTTAGGAAAGAAAATTACCAAATGAAATAAAGCCAATAGGACACATTGGTGAGTAACTATAGATTGATTCACAACTAATAGACACACATCTCAATTCTTAAACTAAATCATTTCCAAACAATGAGCTAGCACTGATGATGCAGCAGGAGGCAGGCAATTGACAGGGTTGCGTGTGAAGATTGAGAAAAAAAAATCTGCATTTGGCTGTATTTTTGGCTATGACAGAGCTGGAACATACTGAGCACATCAAATGAAAGGGTGGTAGAAGGTAATGCTGCAAGAAGTGGAAATGTTTCTACGGGTGATTCAATGTTTTTTTTTCCATGAAGATCTTGTTATTGAAATCAATTGTGACAGCTGTGATTCAAAGCTGCAACACAGCCTCCATTCTCCGGGACTGAGTAAACACTCATTTGATTAGTTTTTGGTTGAGTATCACTTTAAAGTCCTTGGCAGTGAGATGTTTATGTTACTTTTTCTCACCCCTGTAGACAAAACAAAGTTCTACTTCTCATCGGGTTGGTGGTGACCCAAAGGGGGTCACAGGTCAGTTTCAAGATGATCCCATCCAAAATAAATATATCTTTTGAAGTGTTTTGTATTTTCAGTGTTGCACATTATGATTTTTACACGCTGCTTCTTGCTGCTGGAAAACTGAGCGGTAGTGATGGGAAGTCCAGGTGTTTTGAAACAGTCCGTTTGTTTGTTTCTGAGTTTTAAAAAGAGCCGTATGTTTGGCTCCTGTTTAGATCTTCATGTGCTTTCAGTGTCTCCTCCAGTAAAGTTTGTAGGCCTGCCATATCGCCCTGGAGGTGGACAGGTAGACAGAGTTTGCATGTGTCAGAGACAGTTCACGGTTTTATAGCCACGCTGTAGCTACAAAAATCTCTCTCAGGGCTCATCTTGTTTCAACATACACAACACAGCGCAGCCTAGAAAATATTTGACCATCTGTCTTTGCATGGCTTGTTAAATTCAACTAAATGGACGACTTGACTTGGCAGGATTTCTTTTTGCACGTTTGCCAGTTGCATACTGTAATTACACAGGTAATTCAGCTGAGCAACACTGTAAAATAACTGCATGTATAAACACCATTAAATATATACGTTAAAGTAGCATGTGTCCTGTTTCAGGCTTTATGGTGTGTAAATTTCCAGTGCTATCCACTTCCTCACGCAGTGCTTTAAGCCCTTGCATCCATCTGTACTTAACAGATTCTCACTGAGCACACAGATGAAGTTCATTAAAGTCAGACAAGCTTCAAAGAGGTTAAAGTTTCGGCCTTAAGGGGCAGTTGGCAGGGCAACGAGTACCCACACACTGTGTCGGAGAGCAGGCGAGACAGGAAATGAAATGAGCAGCGTCATTGACAAAAGAAGAAAGCATGGCTGGCACACTAAGAATAGCATTACACAAATAGAGTCTCAAACCACATTAAGCACTTTGTCGCAGTGTCTTTATCTGCGGCTTCTCTGCCAGCCAAGCAGCATCCGAACTATTCTGCTGTGTATTATGTCACTACATGCAGCCAGTTAAAAGATAATATAAACCATTAATGCTGCTAATGTCTGCTCTCTCACGCTATTTGACAGTTAAAAGCTCAATCGGGTTGCACTCTGAACAAGACAGGATCTGTTAAGGACAGAAATCGAATGTATCTCTTCCCCTTCCTCATTCCAGTGAATCAGCTACAAAATTCCACTCACCAACGTCTTAGGTTGCCTTCCTGGTGCATAGCCCTTCTTTGTCTAATAAGTACTGCTTGTACTGTGTTTTGATGCTTCTGCTGAAAATGTAAATGTCTGACTTAATCGATCATCAAAAGCTTTCTTTGAGAAACCAGCTTCTGGCTAATGAAGTCCTATTAGTGCATTAAGTTGAAAGAACCTCTCAAATAGAGCCATTTGTTTGCCATAAATCCATCATTTGTGTTGCGCTCTAATGTGATTGAATCCTGAAAGTCACTGACATAAGCCTCCCTCAGTTCTGCTGTAATGTGATCTGAATATAAGTAAAACCCACCATGCTTGTGAAAGGACTAAACACAGTGTGCCAAAAGTAAAAAAAATCGGTTGAAATTTCCTAGATATATTTTGCATATTTAGCTCACTTTCTCACATTTGAGGCAGAAATTGTAATTAACATGTTATATATGATTATTGACAAAATAATTAACAAAAGTAATCTTTCTGTTGAATCTAAATCTAAATGTTTGAAAAATATGAAACAGCCTATGCTGCTTCTATTATTTTTCCAACCTATTTCAGATGAAAGCCCTTCAGTCCCTCCACCTCACTCCATACTGCTAGGAGACTACACACCAGGGGCTGAGTGAGGGACAGCTCTTGAGACGGACCTTCAGTCAGCAGCTATAGCAACTCTAAATACAGTCAGTACAAACCCTAGTGACTGTCTTATCCCAGACTGCTCTGACTCCCTACTGAATCAGCAAACTTTCTGTTGCTGCCTTTACACAGGTGAGACCCAGCACTATCGCTGGCCAATAGCCCACAACGCTGGGGTTTGCACTAGCTGACTTCAAGTTGCTATAATTGTTGACTAAAGCCTTTCCACCAAACATTTTTGATATAGTACTTTTGGAACCAAATGTAACCCTTCAGACATGGCACCAAGACCCTAGGTCCATTTAGCATTTCCACTGCAAACAGTACTCTTAAATGTGGGTGGGGTTGTTGTAACTCAACACAACCATATGTAAAAACTCTCCATGGTATGAACAGCAGTTACATAGACTTTAAAACCAGCCACCACTCAGCCATGTGTGACCGTCCACTGTTGACCACTCGACAGACTGCAGTGTTCACAGCTCCACCTTTCAGTACCAGATATGCGTGCTAAGTAGCCCAACAGAGGGGGGGCCAAAAATGGGGATGGTACGGAACGGTTGTATTGGTACCATCCACAACTTTTCACTGTGGAAATGGAAAAAGAAGTGTACCGAACTGAACTGAACTCTGTCGTTCTGCTAAGTGGAAACAGGATATAAGGGTCCGCTTCAGAGCTGCCGCCCGGCCTCCCACCAATGAAGTAGGACCACAGAAGTGGGGAGTGAGGCAGGGGGACCACGGGGTGTGCTAGCTAGCTAAAGTATAGGTTAGTCTTACGGAAGTGGACATGGTTTCATCTCAAATAGGTTGGAAAAACAATAGACGCAACGTGGGCTATTTGCATATTTTCCTAATATTTAGATTTAACCAGTGTTGAACTCAAGACCACCTAAACCAGGAGCAAGACATGACTAAGACCAGAGTGTATTGAGATCAAGATGAGAGCAAGACTTTGAGGGGTTGAGACCGAGTCAAGACCAAGACAAGAACAGTGCGACACCTCAAACTGATCTAAAGGATCCATATTTCCACAGAAACACCCACCAAAAACAAATAAAGATTTCTCTTCATTTAGCTGCCAAATACTGTATTCAGTGTGTGTGTGTGTGTGTGTGTGTGTGTGTTTGATGAGTGTACCATGAGAAATAACTGAAAGGCATTGCAGAGGTGAATTATATTTGTGGGAATTTTCCTTTGTTTTCTATTAACCAAAAAATATAAATAAACACTGAAGAGCAGAAATCAACTTAATCATCTTTGTTCAGCATTCCTTTTTTGCACTGGCAATTAAGTGATAATATCCCCACAGCTGTGGGCTCGAAACAAACTCCAGATTCCTCTTTGTGACAGAGACTGAGACAACTGAGTAAGAATGCGGTTGAGTCCAAGACGAGACTTTTATAAGGTTGTCTTAATACCAAGACCAATCTAGAGTACTACAACACTGGATTTAATATTTAGTATTAACATTATTTTACATATAAACATAATATTATTATACACACAACATGTTATTTTACATTTATTTCTGTCTTAAATGTGAGGCGAATGAGCCAAATATTCAAAGTCAGCAACCAACTTTTAACATTAGGCTCCCAACAGTATGCCATTCCGACTCTCACCTGACAACGGGTTCCTCTCTGTGTGCAGTTTGCATGTTCTTGCCTTCAGGCACGTCCCACACCACAACACATGCAACACATGCAGGTCAGGCATGAGAAATACTCCTGCAATAGCTTGTTCAAAGCTCTGGCCTCAGAATTAGTTATTCCCCAAGCACTTTGCTGCGGCTGCCCGATGTTTACTAAATATATATCTCGGTCAGATGCAGAATCCACATTTCACCACAAGAATAAATAAAATGTAACTTGTCCAACTTTCCAAAATAAACACTGGATACATGTAGAGCAGCACTGTCCATCAACCAAGACTTTAAGACTGTTTCCCAAGTTTTCCTATTAGTATGATTGCTTCACAACTCGTTCTCCTGTGAGGAGCTACGCTGAAGAGTTCAGTGTTGTAAAAGGTAACAGGCCACTTTTATTTTATTGGGTTCTTAAGTTGTTTTTACACCTTTTTTGTCTGTTTGGTGTTTTTAAGAGGACATTAAATCATTGCCGTTGGTGCAGGATTAGTTCTGTGAAATAACCACGAGTGATTTAGCCCAAGATTTAGGTTTAATGAATCGAACCAATGTGGATTGTGAACCCTACTCAGCTGAAAAACACTTCTCTGAGTCATATAATGAATCCTCTGAAATGAAAGCTAACAGTGCCAAATAGCCTCAAATAGCACAAAGAACATAGAGGCGGTCGTTAACATTTGCATTTTGTGGACGTTAGGCTGTGGAGTCGCTCCTCTGCCCTTACCAGTAAGTCCAGCCTTATTTTGTTATGCTCAGTATTTACCAGAGAAGGAGGGCTGGTACGTTGTAATAGCAAAACCATTCCCAGATTTTGTGGTGGTATGATTTCTAAACAACTTGTTAGAGTGAGGAGCTGCCGCCTGTACCGTAAAATGTTAAAGAAACAAAATACACCTATATAACCTATATAACTAAATGAGGGCCAGGCTGCACCTCTTCTTTTTCATCATAACATTCACACTTCACCTACTAACAGCCCTCTTAGCACATTATTGCTCTTCGAAAACCACAGTCTTTTCCAGGGATTAACTGCAGCTGGTCCTGTTTCAGGGCTTCAACTTTATTGGGTTCTTAAGCTCTACACCTTTTTGTATGTTTCATGTTTTTAATGGGATATAAAAAGGACTTGGGATTCAGTGTTTATGCTTGTGATCATGCTCTTGCCATGTTCCCCAGGTCCAATGTTCCCCTGCTCAGTATCCTCTTAATATGACACATATTAGGGGACCTTTCAAAAGGTTTTTTTATTCAGTGTTTTTTTCCCCTTAGGCCAAATGTTTAATGTATAATTCCCTGAATCATTATAATAAAATCACCCACCTACAGCTAAAAGCCCTCTGATGTTACACTAAACCTCAAATCTGTAGGCAAGACACTGCTCTTGACTTTAGACATTGATATCTCCACAGTAGCTGAGCAGATTTTTAATTTCCATGTCCCTTCGTTTGATTTGAACTTATCAGTGTATGACAATGTTAGTTTTTATCAAGAACATTGAGCCCCAGGAACTCAGACTCAGAATAATTTAGTTGCTCAATTATTAAGTTATGTTAATGTCATTACCGAGGCTTGATGAATAAGGACAAATGTGGACTGTGAGCCACAGCAAGTTGCAACCACAAATCTGAGTTATTTTTTAAAATAAAAGCTGATATATCCTGAAATAGGAAGAAGGGCACGAATGCACTCATTTGCATTTGCAGAACGGCTCCTCAGTATTTACCGGCTGGTACTCTGTAATGGCAAGAGTTTTTGATTAATTTTGACGTCAATTCTTGTTAAACATAAAGAGTAATCGCGAATCATGACTTTTATATTTGTTTTTACTATTTAAAATGAGTAAAATCTTATTTTATTGCAGGGCTGCCTGAAGTGTATGTCTTCACTCAGCACCTTCCTTGGCCCACTGTCACTCTCTCTTTGTTTATAATGAGACTACTGCTGCAGGAGTGTAAGCTCCACACTGGGGAACAACTGGTGAAAGTCCACCCATTCGGAGTGCAACCACAGACACACGAACACACAGTGACAGGTGTAACTGTTAGCATCACACAACCAACCTTACCTAACAGTAACAGGGAATACTCTATGATAATTGAATGTTCATCCCTGTTCCTAATGCAGTGGACATCTCTGTCTGTGCGGGTCTAATTTATCACTACAAGCTGATTATTACTATAACCAATTTGTTTCTTTTTCTTTATTTCTCATGCAGATTACCATCTGATTGGAATTTGTATACACTATTACGAGAATATAAAGTCATGAGGGACTTATCGTGACAGGGCGGCTTCAACCACGGGTGCTTTCCCCCGTGGGCATTTGTTTTCTCTCATTCCTCACTGTCTGAGCTGACTACACAAAGTAGCCTTGTAACACTGAGTATCACTGCTGCATTTTGTGGTTTGCTTTCTTTGTGGGAGGAGACGGGAGGAGACGACATTTTTCATTGACAGGAGATGACTTTTTTTTTCCTGTCATGATTTCAAACTGCACGCAGCATCAGCTTCAGGCAGCCAGAAGCAGATGGATTACCACGAGGTAAAAGATCATAATGTAAAGTAAATAATAATAATAATAATAATAATAATTAAAACAGAGCAGAATTTTTACCCCTATGTTGTCATGAATGAGAAATTATAAGGAAAGGATTCTGTCCAAAGCTTTTTGAGCCATATAATTGGTTGATTATTGTCTTTTCATTTTTATTTATTTTTTTTTACAACTTGTTAGCATGTAAGGAGTTGCGTCCTACCCATTAAAATGTTAAACAACAACTCAGTTGGCAAAAAGTTGGCATTCAGCATTTTGGCATCCCCTCTGTCTCCCACTGAGAGAGTCAGCTTATTTTTAATGTCACTTTAGAAATGTTCATATAACATGTATGAAATGTGCAAATGTAACATATTTGCAGTTTGCAGAAATGGACAATGCCAACATTTTCTTCTGGCAACTGGGCTGTGAAGAAATATACCACAAACTGCATAGTCATCTTTAAACCCCAAATGAAAGCCAGGTTGTAATTTAAGAAACAGATTCTTGTTTAATCCTTTTCATCTAAACACACGCTTCATGTACTAGCAGGCTTATTGGCATTCTCTTCATTAGTCATCACTGGGGATAAAGTGCAGCTGGTACTGTTTCAGGGCTTAAACTTTATTGCGCTCTTAAGCTCTATGTACACCTTTTTGTATTTTTCATGTTTTTAATAGGGTATAAAAGGATTGAGGTGTCTGCAGTGTTCACCATGTTCCCAGAATCCTACGCTGCTCTGCACGATATCCTCTGATTATAACACATTAAGGGGACCTTTCAAAGGATTTTACATTCTCAGTATATATATATATATATTTTTTTTTTCAAATGTTTTGTGTGTTTCCCCGGATCAATATGTTGAAAAACACCCAACTAAAGCTAAAATGTTTGATTCCATCCAAATGTAACGTCAATTTTAACCACATTTTCAGAAAGTCGGCAGACCGAAATGCAAATTTGTGTCCTTTTCCGTCCACTACTGTCATGCTAATATTGGGAGTATGAAGCAGTAAACAGTAGGTGGCATTAATTCTCCAGTCAGGTGCCTCTGCAGAAGATGGCGCAACAAAATGACATAATTCAAAGAGCGCCGGTCAAACCTCAACCGAAGGAAAGCAATGGATGTATAATGACGGACAATGGAAATAGAGAGTTCTGTACAAATGAGTTTACAGCTCTGTGCTCTTGAGTTCTAGTAACATCTCTGTGGGCGTGTAAAAGCAGAGTTATACTTGTGCGTCAGCTCTATGCAGACCCTAAACCGTAGCCTACGTGGTTGTGAGCTGTTATATTTGTGGTGGTAATGTCTGTCATTCTACAGTTACACATCCGAAACACTAGTCAGCCGCAGGGTTTCTGTGAAGTGCTGTAAAGGTTAGCTGATTCAAAACACACATTAAACATGGCTTAATAGCCATTTCAAACACAAGCATACACATCGGCTTCACTATAACTTGCAGCATTCATAGACAAAGCAGTATAAATTAGCCTAGCGACAAGCGAAGATATCCTCTGCTCATATGAAGCCAGGGACAACAGCAACATTTAACAAAGGTAATGTTACAAAATTCGGCTCCATTACAACTCACAACATTCACAGACAAAACGACTGTCTTACACTAAACACAATTTTTAAACAAATTCAACATGCTAATGCTATTTAAAATTAGCCTCAGACTAGCAGAGATTTCCTCTACTCATATGAAGCCATCGGCAACAGCAACATGTAACAAAGGTAACTTTACAAAATTTGGCTCCATTACAACTCACAAGGTTCACCGACAAAACTTCTGTCTTATACAAAACACATTTTTTAAACAAATGCAACATGCTAATGCTATTAGCACAAGCCTATGGCATTTTACATTGTAAAAATTAGCCTCAGACTAGCAGAGATTTCCTCTGCTCATACGAAGCCAGGATAAATCACAGACTAGATATACAATTCTATTTTGTGGAGGCTTTATTGTCTTCACAATTTATTGTTTCTTATCTGTCAAATTAAAGTAAATACAAGCTTAGTTTCCACTGAGGGAAATGGTTTCAGCTTACAGAAATAGACAGGAGGTGCACGTCAAGCTACAGCACAGGTCCAGCAACGACTCGACACATAAGTATAAATCCAGCTTGAGTGTGTTAAAAGCCGTCCAGAGACGATGACATTGGCATTATGTTTTTAGGTTGTCTGTCCATCTATCCATCTGTCCTTCCTTCCCATTCTTGTAAACACAATATCTCAAGAGAGCTTTGAGGGGGTTTCCTCAAATTTGACACAAAGGTCCTCCTGGACTCAAGAATAAACTGATTAGACTTTGGTGATTAAAGGTCAAAGGTCAAGTTACTGTGACCTCAAACGTTCAAAATATAGAGGGGGATTTGTTCCCTGTCTGTGTCCCTTTGCTCTTTTGCAAGTTGAACTCACCGATCTCTTACAATGTTAGTTTATATGAAGAACTTTGGGCGCTGGGAACATAGGGATGACCCCAAATAATTAAGTTGCTAAATTATTAAATTAGGTTGAGGTCATTACCCAGGCTTATAGAATAAGGACAAATGTGGACTGTGAGCTCTAACTAGTTGAGAACCACCACTCTGAGTTTTATTTAAAATAATAGCTGATGGTAACAGACAGCTTCAAATAGGAGAAAGGGCATAAATGTACACTTGCATTTGCAGACTTTTGTGCATGTGCTGCCACAAATTCTGCCCCCACCACTGAGTCCAGCTTCCACCTTATTTTGTTGTGCTCATTATTTACCAGAAAGGGAGGGCTGGTGCTCCCTCTGTAAGAGGTGGTGCCCCAGAGAGCAAAGCCTGGCTGCCAAGGCGTGGTTTACTGCATTATGACTGGAATGTATGGCTAAACTTTATTAGGGCACATGTGATTTAGGAGTCAACAAAACTGAAGCTTTGGTACCTTTTGTGTGACGAGACAGTAGAGAGTGAGTATGAACAGTAGTCCTCCGCAGATGGAGACGATGATGAAGCCAAGCTTGTACAGGTCTCTGACTGGTCTTCTCTGCGAGGCCCTCACTGAGTTCCTACCATAACTGTCTGTAGAGAAAGACACATGTTCTGTGATCTCAGTGGCTCCACACATCTGCATTTTTTATTACACTAGACTATCGCAGAAGATATTCCCACCTGTGAAATATTGTGTGGTTGATTCTGTGTATAGGTCTGTGGTAGAGCCAAAGGTTTCTGTGTATTCCTGCTGGCATCTCCAGTCCACTGGTGCATCGCTCGTCATCATCAGCTCCCAGTACACAGACAGAACCTCTGAAGCCCTCTGCAGTGCCTCTGAAGTTGACCCTTGGTAGAGCATCTCAAAACTCTCTGGCTTGTCCTGCGGCAGATTCCAAGAAAAATCTTTTAAATGTTTTCACAAGTATTGCAGATTTATCTCCTCATACTGGGCAGTTCTTCACATCACATATTTCTTCTTCATGTTTCATATTATAGAAAATGTTATCCCTCAGTTGGGAGAAACAGGCTGTACTCAGTAGCACGCACTCACCTCAACCTCCTCATTGATCTGAGGCACACATTTCTGAGAGTAGATGTTGAGGATGAGCGCTCTCAGGGTCTGAACGTAGCCATCATTGACTGAACCCCTGCTGTATTTGAAGTGGGTTGTGAGGAGCTCCAGGATCCAGGGTAAAGCAGCTTTTACAAAGCAACATTTGCTCTGTGGGAAATCGGGAAATGAGACAATAAACATGAAAGCGGGTTACAGTTAACGGAAAGCTGGAAAGTTGGAAAGCGAATCAAAGATTTGGAAAGGAAACACTCCCATAAAACAAGTGTTACCTTACCAAAGTTCTCCGTTCTATGAATGTGTAGGTTATCGAGCACCCACTCCTCAGCTGGTTGTCCATCTGCAGAAATGACAACAGGAAGAAATTGGAGTCCGGGTCATGTAGTGTCATGGCCTCATTGTTGCTGATATTGGTTTAACAGCTAATGTACTTTCAACACCCACCAGATGCCTGACTGTCAGCAGGTGCTCCCTCGTGATGGAGTGTCTGCATGGACCAGGGACCTCAGCCATAGTCAGAGGGAAGCTCAGGAACATAAGGACACACAGACACTTTACCTGCAACTGACACAACCATACGTCAGCTGCACATTATCTTCACCTCCCTCGAGGAGGGACACCGATACCAAGGAGGTGATGAGAGTTCTCAGCAGGACGGTGCACAGTTGCATTTGAAAAACTCTTACGTGACAGACATAACTCGTGTAGAAAATGCACCACAATGGGGAATGATCTCAACCAGCAGCTCAACCATAGCACCATAAAGGGCCGGGATTGGATCCTGACGTTAACCTTTTCGATAGGAATCTACTCAGCGTGCGATAATCATTTCTTCAGAAGGAAGCTTCCTAGTAATGACTTTACAAGGAAAGCAAAAGCAGTTCAAAACAAGCCTAAATGGAATTTTCTCCTATTTATGCCAAAACAGTTAAACAGTATGCATCCATTCAACTCCTGCCTTTCCATCCAAAATGCACTCACTATGCGTTCAACAAACCACACAAGAAAAGCTGCTCATTCACAGTGACAGCTGTTTGTTTGTGTTTGTGCTTCTTGACACGGGTTAAAGTATCAGGTTTTGGGCCAAGTTTCGGCAAAATGCGCGGTGCCTCTCTGCTGCAACGCTACCAGTGACCGATGTTTAATTGCCAGTGACCTCAGGGGAACCTAGTCTGTGTTAGATAAGTTCCAGTTATGGTCAAACAGTGCCCTCTACCATGGAGGCTCAGCCTGGAAGAGCAACATACACAGACTCCTCCTGTAGCTGATGATGCCTGCTACCAAGCACCTTTTGGCAGCTGTAACAGTAAAATGGGCTCCAGATGGACTTAATCTTTCTACTGACGATTAAAACATGGTGACAAGCACATGTTCCTCACTTTGCAAGCAAAATGTCTGCACTGGAAGGTATTCTTTGATAATCATCCTGTTGAGTCGCTTGACCTGTATGTTCAGCTCCTGCAGCAAACAATCAAGACAGATGCTAGCGAGAAAAAAAACTAAATTGAAACAATAAAACATGATTTATTCGTTGCCTGATCGACTTCAGAGACGTATTAAGACACAAAAGACAATTCTTTAAAAGCCACCAAAGACAACAAGTATGCCTTTCATATTTTGATGTCTGTTCCTAATACAATGTCGAACTGTACAGAGTAACTCTTCTGTAGGTTTTTGAATTATATAACATAAACTCTACAGTTTCTGTGAAGGTTATGTGTCTTTTTGACTACGTGTTGTGATTTGCCATAAAACTTCATTGCCAGGACCTGAAGGAAAGGAAGAAAAATCCCCTGCCATCATGGTTTTAACTATAAAAGCAAATGAATAATAATAATCTGATAAAAGTGGCATTTGAAACTGAGAAAAATTAAAAAGCAATTTTTGGAATTAAACAGGAAGATTTGTGTGAGCTGAAAGAGTAAAATGCCAGCCTCTGACTGTTATTGGGAGCCCACTTGATGATTGATGATGATCAAATTAATGCAATCTAATAAAACTATTGATGTGACTTTCACGTCATAACTGCAGGAATGGAGCACATGATGTAAATGTCACCTGTCACATGGTTTGTTCTTTTCATGCTGTTCATGGTATCAGTATGTAGGTCAGCAAATTAAGCAAACAACTTCACACACAGACTAACACATAACCCTATCATTCTCCTGCACTGACTTGAATTGTTGGTGGATCTCAAGCTGCAGTGATGACAGAAAGGTTCTCACCTACCTTAGCTTTGCTCTGAATCAGGGTTGACACAAGGATGGTCATCTGGTAAGTGTTTGACAATGGAAAACACCAGACTCCTCTGTCACACACATTGAAGCAAAAAGATCCTTTTCATATATTCAGTTCCACTCCACAGAAAGGAATCCGCTCTTAAGTAAATTTGACACTTTGTCATGTGGCGCTGTTCTTAAAGGCATTGCCTGATGTGCTCCTCCCGCACGGAGTGAGTTCAAACCAAGACTAACTGTCGCAGCTGACAGACAGCCCTTTTAAAGACCTCCCACCTCTCCTCTGTTTGACAAAATACAAGGTCCTGGTCTCTACAGATGTGTTATGGCAAATTGTTTTTTGGGATGTAGATTGACTGTGTAGTGTATTTTCTAATCTACAGGAGTCTTCTGAGTGAGTGTTACCATGAAAAATTTCATAGTAAAGCTTGTGGGAGCTTGAAGTGGATGCTGATAACATCTGTTCTTGTTCTAGAAACGGTATCCCTTTGAGGCAATTTGCATCTTAAACACTAGTCCACATATGAACCGGCAGGTGATGTTTCACGCTGCTTGAGGAATCCCTTTTTTTTTTTTGACTACTAAACGTCACGTTGCACGATAAGAGTCTGGTATATTGAGAAGGTGGGTGTCTCCGTACGACTTGACACATTCACATAAACACCTTTATGGGCTACTTTTGACAGGCTACAGATCGACAGACTGCGAGAGAAAGAGAGGGAGAGACAGAGAAAATTTGGCCTGGGATCTATTAACACAGGAAGTGAATTCCAATGCTTTGAACACATTCCAGCATCTAGCATCGTAAACTCATGTAACTGAGTCATTTATTGCTGTCCTACTGTGAAATGTACTGTTTTCATAGTCGAGAATTTTACCTTTTAAATACAAAACATGTGATGAACAAATGAAACATAATGCACTGTGGTAGATTTGCAACAAAATCTAATGTAGTTAAAATTTGATCCACCTCCAGTAGCAACCTCATTAAAATGCTGTTTACAAGATACAACACCAAAAACAATAATTTAATAACCACTTAAGTACGAGAACATAACACTGGAGGGGACTGTTCTGTGTAATGAGTGCTTTTTGATACTGTTTAATTGGCCACACCATTGCTGTTGGGTGCTGCCGCCCAGAATTCACATCAGAGTGCCAAATGTGTATTGATCCGCCAGTGAAAGTAGTCCCCAACAAATGCACTATTTACTCCTGTTTAAGTAACTTTTAATTGAAGTCGCAGTGCCCAGCAGTTTTAGGAAATTATTTAACCTTTTTTAAAAGTGTTATATAGCACCTTCAAAAAGAAAAATGTTGACATAATACCCCAAAGGCAAAATAACAAACGAAGCCAAAGAGTAATGCAAGACTAAGGCAAGACAAGTAAATTAAGGCAATTAAGGTAAAAATAAACAAGTGACAAGATACGAAAATATATTAGAATGAATTAATGGTTAAAAACATACTAATAAAAGAAAATACAATTAACACAAAACAATAATCCTGTCAGATTTACGTCTTCAGTAGAAACTAACAGCAGTAATACATGGGACACAGATGTGGAGCAACATGTCCTCCGTAGCGTACATACAGCAGCGCTTGCCCTCTATTGTTATGCAGCTGGTCTACTTTTTCTTCTGTGTAAAAATTAAGTGCAATCTGCTTAAACATAATCAAATAAATACCTTACTGTACCAAAGTCAATGTGACACAGCAGACCAACCTTGTTGCTGTTTTTACATTTCACATTAAAATTAATCGGCCAGATCCATGCCTCCTGTAGCCCACATTTCCAGACCCTGTGTAACCAAGTGCATTATCACTTGCACCGAATGCAACAAAATAGAATCTGTGTATCAGGTTAAAAACCCCACTCCACCCCACCTGTGTGACTTGTTGCATCTGTGCCCCATTTGTGGGAAGTCAGGAAGTACTGAGAAACAAACAAACATGTTGGTTGTGAACTTTTAATTGGATTCAGTGACAGTAAGAGAAAAAAATCATATATAATATGTAAACTTCAGACTTTAACTCTCAGCACTTCTTCCACCACTGTATTGTGCTAAAAAAAATCTGTTCTGTGGAGTGTTCTGAAACGTGTGATAAGGTTTTAAATTCAGGGCATGGTCAAGGGTACATATTGATAGAGAGGGTGTCGACCGCTCAGCTTTTTTAGTGTCTGGTCTGTTAAATTCCAGTGTGACTCCAACCTGAACTCAGAGAATCAAATCAAGGGAGCAGAGTATCGCAGGGAGAATGCCTTTAAACAGGGTCCAGAATGTTGTGCTAAGCTCCTGGTTTCACGTTAGTATTTCTACCACTGCCCCTGTTTTCTCTGTTTACAACCATAATATTTTCTGTTCCATAGTACAAAATGTCCAGAACAAACCGGGGGGAGTTGGGTCACTGATAAATGTGAATAGGCTATCTCCATTACATCACAGACTGTGTAGTAATCAAGAATCTCCCTGGCCTGGTGATCCTTGTGGAACAAAAGTTCCCCAAACTGAAATGAGAACAAATGAGATCTTGTGACATCTCAAATTAGTTACAATGCTCATGCTGTAATGGTAATGGTCAATGCCTCTACTACTTCATGAGTGGTATTGATTTTCTCACCTAACTCTGCGCCAATGAGCCCAAAATGTATGAATTACATGATGTGAGGAAGATGAGGAGAGAGTCTATCATTCACCGTAAAACTTGTAAATAAGGAACGGGATTCCATGGATGATATTTCCTGGCTTGGAATGATGACAATTATTTAATACTATCAATAGTTATACGTCCATATACAACAATGTTAGTATGTTACAGACTTCAGCTGATGGATTGTTTAGCATGAGAGGGCAATTGTTCGAGCGTGAAGGCTTGTGCAACCTTTTCAGTTGTGAGATTTTAGCTATAGCCTACAGTTTATCTGACAAATATTTGGCAGGCAAAATATAGATTACAATATATCTTGTGAAACATGGTGGTTGTTCTGGCTGGTTTCCAGCCTGAAGAGTTCTGTTGACACATAGCGTGAGAGATGCTTTCGCAATGGTTTGAATATACTGTTGATTAAATGCAAGTCCAGAGATAGTACAGAGATATCCACCCTCACCCCACTGCCTGCTGTCAACAGATAAAATCCAAAGCAGACAATTCATGGATGTGAGAGCAAGGAAGCATGGGGCTCTGTCATTGTCACATGAGAGGACTTTCCCGACAAAACAAAAAGACAAAAAGATCTGTCAAGGGCATCTGATGAATATATGTACTTTTATTGTTCTGTTATCTTTCTGTGTTGTCTGCCTGCTATGTAAGCAGAACTAACTGTTTTTGACGAGTCAGTCTTTAAATCACCCTGAAGACGCATGTTTACTCCTGAAGAGTTTTGTAGTTCAGAGATTTCTTCTGGCTCAATATAGCCCACGGCTCTTTCCTTGGCCGAAGTCTGTCCATTGTTCAGCATGCTAGTAAGATCAAACATCAATAGGCCCAGTCTGGCCCAGTGTTTGACGCAAAAAAGGCTGTGGTCCAGTTCTGGCCCAATCCAATAGATTCAAAGTCCCACCCCCAGTGTTGTGTATGAACAAAGGCCCAGACACACCGAACCAACATCAGAGAACTAGCAGCAATGAAAGCCCCCTGCTGCGTCGCCTTACGTTGCTGTGTCTTGTCCAAAAAGTTGCACGTGAACACAGACGGCCAACAAGCACGTATGTTTTGCACCTGCATGAGAGGACTCACCCCTTTATACCAGCAGACAGCTGTAGGCTTTAATCATCATTCAAAAAAGGAAACCCAAAGACCTTCTTGAAGGTAGTTAGCCAGTTGGCACATTAACAACACAAGCCAATGTTGAAAGAATAAAGCATATAGGGCGCCAGTGAACAATAAGACAGACCATCAGGAAACGTTTCTGCTAAGGAGCTCACTTCGCTATTGGTTGATTCCTCTGGGCTAAGCGCATATTCATAGAACTAGAACCAGGTAACTACTCTTTCTCATGCGCTGAGCTGAACTGTCAGTCAGAGTGACTTCATTCTCAGGCTCCAACGATGCATGCTGAATTAAATGACTAGCACCAACGAGGGCCCAACAGTGCAGGACACACTGCACCAATGAGGGCGGCCTAACTTTGACCAACGGCCGCCCCTTTGCTTGGTGTCTCTGGGCATCTAGAGCACTCGACATAAGTGTTTTTCACCTTTCAACAGTTAATGATGCTCGTTTTATAGCACCCCAGGATTTATGGCAGAATAAACAGCAGGGCTTTCTGAACTGTCAGGTTGAAGATATACTTGCTTTTAACTACGTGTTTGTGTGCACACGATGTCTGCCTTGTGCCACCTGCATCTGTTTTAAAGCAGTGGTTGTGCACGTCCTCAGCAATAAACACACATACACACGTGAACGATCGAGGCAGTGTTGGCAGAACGACCAACATCTGCTTTATACATATATTTATTTGTACATTTACAAATACATATACATGATGTCACTGCTGTCACTTATTCTGCTGTGACCCACGCTGACCTCAGAATTTAAAATACAGTTACCTCCTGTTGCCGTGTTTATTGTTTACATCATGCAATCCTGGACGTTCTATATGGTCTACGTCTGTGGTTTCCAACTGGTGGGTCATGTTCTAGAAATGGGCTGTGGGTCTATTGTGAATGGACCATGAGTGACTGGCAAACATGTTTGTAAATAAAAGAAAAAACGCACTATTTTTAAATGCAGTGAATCGTGCACTGGTCTACGTTCTCTGGTGTGCCCTCTAGTGGAATTCTCCGGTAACACAAGTAAATAGACCAGTATGTGAATAATACCATTCACAACACAGCCGGTTGTCTACGCAAATGCATGGTTAAAAAGCAAGTGTATCTCAGACCTTATAAGACTTAGGCACAGCAATTCTCCCCCCATCTCCTTGCACAAGGAGAAAATTAAAAACATCACTCACAGAGGACACAGCATAGCTTACCAGTAGCCTGGAGCTGCACTCTTGGATTGAAAGCCGTACAATGTTACACCCTGAAGTCCCTATCAAGGTCATGTTTCCTTGCTTTCACTTTTGATAGTATTTCCTGTTTTATTTTGATACTCAGCCTTGTCTCTTATTTCAGGCACTTCCCTTCCTGCCCCTGTGTGTTTCCTTCCTGTGTGCTTACCTGCCCCACCCTGATTGGTCTCACCTGTCCCTCATTACCCCTCCTCCCTTGT